TGAGCGGCGATCGTGTAGTTCGGGGAGTGCCGTTCTTAGTTGTTCCCTCTGCAAAGAGTCTAGATCTCTGAGGATGCGTATCCGTTTACCATTCAGCCTATGTGACCGTTGAAACACGGAGGCTGCCTCAACTTCCGATCCTAGAACCACATTGAGCGGACGCGTAGAGCCAGCGAGCCGTTTGCGAGCTTCTCAAGGTGAAACGCTGACTTTACAAAGATGTTTTTTTGCCGAGGTTTCTTCTCCCGGGATGAATAGCCGTCCCAAAGTCTCGCGTAGGAAGTTGATGTCTTAGGTGAGCCTGGTCTGCGAATCGACTTCCTCCTACTCCGACAGGTTCACAACAGTAAAACATTGGTTGCGCGATGGTCGGGGATTGCGAGTCCGGGTTATGGTACACGCACCGTCCTCGCCGACTCGGTTCGCGTTCGCATTCTGTTGAATGCTTTGTGATATACGGGATCCGGGTTTGATGCTTTTACGGGCTTCCTTTTGTGTAGGCTGAACCGTCAATAAAATTGGAGCCGCCTTCGTTACCTTGGGTTTGCCACTGGAAGGATTAGGAGACATTGTTGGAGCGGTCTGACGATCTCTTTGCCTTCTGCCATTTGTGGTTGATGGCGTTGATGTTACACTCTTGGTACGGGGACCAATGATACGTTGACAGATGACAAAGCCTTTTTTCTACACTGGAACACTTATTGTCGGGTATTCCAGGAGATAAATCGGTAATCCACAATAAATCCAAAATCACTCAGATGAAAACCGTACACGCCTGGTGTAGCGCAATTCACGCTAATTTTTTTCAGCTGATGGTATGCGAAAGAAATGTCATTCAGGCCGACATCTTGCATAATACTACTGGCCTTTTTCAAATATTTATTCAGAGAAATCATTCCTTCGTGTTTGACAATTATCATTTTGAAATATGGCCTTCCCGTTTTTATAGCAAGCAAAATTTTGTTTTTTGCTGCTTCAGATAAACAACAATAACAACTCTTAGATAAAACAAAGGTCGACGAGAAACAAGTGAAAACGGTGATCGATATCCATCGTTTGGTGCATGGATTACAATTCCCCTTAAAGGACCGAAGAAAACATGGAACGGCAATGATGCCCCGCTGATTCCGTAAAAATGGAGGGGACATTAAAATTCGAAACCAAAACCTTTATCCGGCTTTCAAGCGTGTGCGTCTGAAATCAAACGCATCTCAACAGATCATCCGGATCCAGTTTTCCAACATCAAACTATACACATGCCTGGCTTGTTCTTCTTTTTCGATTTGGTAAGTGGACAGAAAACAACAATAGCAACATCAACAACGAAATCGAAAACTGGAGCAGACAAACTGGAACAAAAACAGATCGATTCGGTTTGTCTACAGACAAGTTCAACCGTACCTCTATATCTCTATGTGAATCAGTGCAGTAGATTTGCTCGGAGTGATGCCAGGCATATCGATTCAGTTGTAGGGGACGAGAAAAACAAAAAACCGTTATGTTTTCAGACACACACACACAGTGAAACAGCTGATTGCACACTTGTGTGATTGATTTTATCGTCTGTCCTTCAATGAGAAATGGTTGGTTGGTACACAGATGTCTGTTTGTTTAAAACGATGTCACTCACAGCCGGGATTTTATAGTGCGGACATGATTTCATTTCATCGCATCAGTCTTCCAGCCAATTGTTGTCTACGTCTCATCCGAGGGGTCAGACCGAGTCAGGTTCAATCAAAACGAAACAAGCGGTTTGAGGGAAAGCATCTCCGAGGCGCTTCATAAACCGGTTCTTGTTTTCATGTTTCCTCATTTTTCTACATGCCATCTCGTTATGGTATGGGATAATAATGATACTTTTATGACGTACGAACATAGTGTTTTGAACCCGGTGTAAATCTTATTTCCGACACCATTGGTGGTATTGCTGTTTCCCGTCTTTTAACAACCGCTTAAATTGGTAAATCAGCCACAGCCTGAAAGATCACTGGTTTTTCTCATCCATCACTTCCTCTGGTAGTTTTGTACTTTTCGATCGATCTCTGTATTGATATAACCGTTGATCGGGTCTCTTCTGAAATATTATCGTGCATTCTCGAAGCCAATTGTGAATCCAAAAACAGAACCTATCCTACCTCGTAAATCAGACTCAAAGTCCACAGGCAATATATTTCGCAAGTGTATAAACTACTTGTTCAATCCGCATGAACACTCCGAGAACAGTTGGGTTGTAACAAGTCTTTATTTGCAACCGATGTAACAGTCTCTTGATCGAACACGAATTATTTGCGGTTTTTACCAACTTCCTGAACTCATTGAGGCTTAAAATTCCCTGCCATGTAGAACGCGTAAAGCTTACAGGGTGCAGAAACCGATGGTCTCTGAGAGGATTGTTTACGAGACTTACACTCAGTTCCTATACTCCTTCGTCTTTCGTGTCAAAATTGCAGTCGATCTCAGATCCATTTCCTTGTTCGCATTTGGTACCGTTGTCATCAACAGTGCAATACCACATCATTTTATAACCATTTGCGTTCCAGTCAACGTATCGGTTGAGTCGAGAAGAACCATTCTGTCTTACGGCACCCTGATAACAATATCCCATC